ATTCTGAAGTTTGTGGATGTGGGGCATATTGGTGTCTCAGCAACAAGAAACACACTGGGAAAGAGTGAGCTGAGGCTGAGCTAAGGGTTGGGATTAATGGGAGATGACCAGGCTATAGAGACTGGCTCTCAGAGAGCTGTGGGAATATTTAGGGAATATCAACCTGTTGATTCCAGGGTTCTCATCTGAATCCCTGAGGTTGGTCTGTAGAATAAGCAATTAGGGCACTGGTTGCTGGACTGTCCAGAATAACAGTTGAATGAGTACTCAGTAGCCAAGTGGGGATCTGATACCTTTGGGGAGGTTTGACAATATGTAGCAGAACTCCTGTCAACAGCTGTGTACTCTGGGCCTAGAGAACAGTGTAGGAGCTCAATAACAGTCTGGCAAATGGATGGGAGAAGAAATGAAGGTTAGGTCCACATTTTGGGGACTGGTAAGTAACAAGCAGGTATTCGCTGCCAAACTTTGCTTTAGACTATTAACTAGATGGGGCTTTGATGTAGACTACTAACCAGATAGAAAGAATGTGGAGAAATACTTCTAGTAGTTCCTTTGTAGATAACCTGGGATTTTCTACATAAACAATTTTGTCATCTGCAAATAGGGATGTTTTTACTTCTTTTCTGATTTTTATGCCTTATATTTATTTTTCTTGCCTTATTGCAATGTTGTGTTAGTCCATTTCTGTTGTTTATAATAAAGTACTTGGAACCAGGTAATTTATAAGAAAATGATATTTATTGCATACAGTTTCTGAGGCTGGGAAGTCCAAAGTTCAGAGAACACATCAGGTGAGGGTTTTCTTTGGTTGTGGCTTTACAGCAATGCAGGGGTCTCACATGGCTGAAAATGGTAGAGCAGAGAGAGAGATAGTTCCTCATGTACTCTCCTTTAAAGCCCTCAGAACCATGCCCACTATTACAAAAAGTTGATCAATCCATTCATGAGGATGCAGTCCTCACAATCCAATCACTTCTCCAAGGCCCCATCTTTCAATTACCATGATAGGATTTCCTACCCGTAACAGTTACAGTGGAAATTAAGCTTCTAATATATGAACTTTTGGGGACATAATTCAGTCAATCCACAGCAAATGGCTTGAACCTCTAGTGTTTTGTTGAAGAGAAGTAATGAAAGCAGACCTCATTGCCTTGTTTCTGACCTTAGGGAGAAACAATTCAGTCTTCATTAAGTATGATATTAACTGTAGGCTTTTTCAGATACTATTTATTTCTGATAATTGAATTTAGAGGTTTGATCAGATTCAAGTACAGTTATTTTGGTGGTAGGAAAGACTATATAGGTAAAATTTTATCAATAGACACAGTGTCTGGTTTTATCTTTTTGTGAAATTAGCCGCCATTAGTGATTGTTGTGCATATCAGTGATTACATTATAGGTTACAAATAATTATAATTCTGTTAATATCTTCTTTATTTATTTGCTGGGATACTTCTATAGGGAAGAAAATTTTTCTTCATAAACTGTTTGGTTGCCCTGCTATACAGTTCCTATAAGAAGATCAGAGAAATGCTTGATTGTTTTCTTTCATTTATTTTCAAGATAATGAATTGTTTCTATAGTATTCGCCAAAGGTGACCAGTGCCTTTTAAAACATAAGTTTTGAATTCATTATGTGTTTCTCTCTATTCATTTGTCATTCTTATAGATGCTAAATAAGTTGTACTTTATTTATTTATTTATTTTTTATTTTATTTTATTTTATTTTTGTCTTTTGTCTTTTTCCATGTCCGGCAATGGATCGCAACCAAAGGTGACCAGTGCCTTTTAAAACATAAGTTTTGAATTCATTATGTGTTTCTCTCTATTCATTTGTCATTCTTATCGATGCTAAATAAGTTGTACTTTATTTATTTATTTATTTTTTATTTTATTTTATTTTTGTCTTTTGTCTTTTTCCATGTCCGGCAATGGATCGCAACCCTCAGTGTTGCCCCCGTACCGGACCGGGGACCGGCAACGGGATCGCAACCCTCAGCGTTGCTCCCGCGCCTCGCTCAGCCAGTGAGCAGGAACCGGTCTGTATGTGGGATCCGAACCCTCGGGCGGGAGCGCCACCGCGCTTCCCAAGCGGCGCACTTATCCAGTGCGCCACCGGGCCGGCCCCATAAGTTGTACTTTAATAAGTTCTTTAAGAACTTGGTATTTATCTTTTCTTCTAGGTTTGTTGTCAGGTCTTTGCTCTATATGTAGTCCATGTTCTCTGTGAAGATTTAAGAGCATAAACATACTCATACGTACTCTTGTTTGTAAGAACAAAAAGAGAATGTAATGAAAGAATTATTTCTAATATCTCTGTGAATAAAGAATGGAACTGTTTTACCTTTGAACCATACTTCAGCTATATGGCAGCATATTCTAAGAAACCTTAGAATTTTGTGGGTAAAACCACAGAAGTCAAACTTTCTTTGACTGGAACTTGCAGGAGAACAAGCTGTTGGTGTCATGGTTCTTACGTTAAAGGTGATATGTGTCAAAAATATGTCATAATTTTAAAAGTTTCTTGGTAAAATCAATAATTGGAAAACCCTGTACATTCCTGTATAACAACAGAGGAAAAAAGTCTCCCTGACACACATTTTATATTTTTGATGTAAAATATCACGTGGTGTAGTTGTTTGACTTGAAGCATGTGTACATAACTTTCCGAACATTCATTTGGCTTATAATATGCCAGTTTCCTAACTATTATTATTGATCTAAGGTGCAACATTTCACTGTTCAACATCAGATGTATGCACAAAGGGAATTAAAATTTCTGGATTTTCGGGAGCTTAGCACCATGTCTCTACATAAGAGACAAATTTGTAGGTGTTAAACATGGTTTCTTACTATAAGTTTTTTGTTTGTTTGTTTTTGTTTTTTTCGTGACCCGTAAGGGGATCACAACCCTTGGTGTGGTGTTGCCCGCACCGCGCTCAGCCAGTGAGCGCATCGGCTATTCCTATATAGGATCTGAACCCGCGGCAGGAGCTTCGCTGTGGTCCCAGCGCCGCACTCTCCCGAGTGCACCACGGGGTCGGCCCTTTCTATAAGTTTTATTGCTGTCTTTTTTCTGATTATAAAAATAATATTGCAAAAATTTAACAAAATAGAGATTGCCATAATCCTGCCCACAAAGTTGTATGTTAAATTATATATCTAGATCTTCCTGTAAGTGTAGATATTCCCAAAGAGGTTTTTAGTTCTTGAACTACGTTTACATTTACACCTTACCAAAAAAGATATGGAAGTTATTTCTGGCAAAATATCAGGCGACTTGAACTGTTTGTATTTTGGGCAATGAGTGTATATTGTAGGTGTATACATAACATACACACACATGTGTCTTTATATGTACAAGTATAAATGAGTATAGGGAAGGGGGCAAATGGGAGGATGAAGGAGAGAGAGGTGTATAGTGTATGAAGAGGAAAATTTTGAAATGAAAATGAAATTTTGAAATGTTTTAATAAGTACAGGTAATATTTCTTAAGGAGATTTGTTGTTAGTGCCTAATGCCTGTCAGGATACATATTAGCTAAATAAAGAACTGTGTATCATATCAGTTTGTGTTGGGTTCAGTTTCATGAATTTAAGAATTTGTAGCCATTGTTTGAAATAGGTTCTTTCATTTAACAATTTTAGTCCACATTTCTTTTTGATTTCTAAGAATCTCCCTTCCCCATTTACCTGTGTGTGTACACACACGTGCACGTGTGCAGATTTTTGACTTGGAAAAAATGTTACTCTGTCCCTCGTTCTGTTGGGGAATCTGAGTGGGTCCTGGAAATGCTCTTTCTTTTGAAGTATTCTTTTTGATGGTAGAGTTGAGGCATACTTCTCTTTTGGTCTCAATGGATGCTTAGATACCCTTTATCTAATTCTATGTGAATTAATGAAGCACTTTATTTTCTAATAATCTAATGTAACACTTGGCAGGAGTCATTTTTAATGGAAAAACATTTTAAATGAAAGAAATCTTGTAAGGATCTTGTGCATCTACTGTTCTTGTTTGGGTAAGAGGACACTGGCATTTTAGTTAGTGAAATTGATTTTATATATAAGAAGCATTTCAAGTGGCATTTAATAGTTTCTAAAAAAGTCTTGCTTCTCCCATGTTTACCAAAGCAGCCTTTTTAAATTTTGTATTTCTAAGAAAAAGGAAGGTTCTTTCTTCAGAAATCCTTTATTAAAACTCATCTAGTAATAAATTAAATTTCCTCTGTCTCTACTTTTGCAGGTAGTTTCTACTTTTAACGGGTAGAAACTGTAATGGAATTCTAGGCAGTACCCTCACCCCCACCCCCATGCCTATCCTTCCTTAGCGTGTCTGAATGATCCAAGTATTTTAACCTCAGGGTTAAAATACACGTTTTCGTTAGAACTACAGAGAGTATTTATCCCTGAAAGCTATGTAAATTGCTGTAAGGTAAGAAACATGCTATTTTATTAAGTCAACTCTCCAGTTGTTGATATGTGATGGCATTTCAGTGAAAAGTAGGTGGGGGGAGATTTAGGCTATCCCTGGCTAACTAGATTTCTCTCCTGCACCCAGACTTGTGGGATGTCAGAGGGAGAATGGCTGATGGCCACGGGTAGCTATTTACTGACTGGGAGACTAAGGCCAATTGAATGCAAATAAATAATTATAAAACAAGGTCTTTTGTAGTCACCCAACAGTGGGAATGAGACGGAAGCCTAGGAAATTCGTAGGTGGAGAATTTGAATTCCCGTATTATATAAATTATTCCTATGAAAAAGGGTTTTTGTTTTATTTTTCTTTGTTTTTAAGATTAAACAGTCATGTGTTTGTTTAGTTTCTGCTGAATCTCTTTACTGAAATTACCAGATTGCTCAAAGAAGTCATTTCATCCCTCACTGAATTCTCAAACATAACTACTAAAGTGATGCATAAGGGTATTTTAATGCTACTGAGATAAGCAGAGTATTGGTCTGCTTTTCCTCAATCACTCTTGGTTTCCTTGGATTTCTAGGATGTGGAGAGCATCTCGTGCGCACCATACTGGCTAGAGAATGTTCACACGCTTTACAAGCTGAAGATGCTCACCAAGCTCTGTTGGAGACTATGCAAAACAAGTTTATCAGTAAGTATAATATTAAGAAAATGACATCCTTCTAAATATAGATTGTTTCACTGAGCTGTAAGCACCATGAGTCAGTTACCCCATTTGTATCTCTAGACCTAGCTCCAGAGCCTAATATAGAGTTGGACCCTCAGTTAATATTGGCGATGAAAAGAAATTCCACCACAATTGCTCCTACAACATGAAATCTGCCATAAAACTAATCTAATGTCCAAGCTGTGAGACATTGTCTAGGATTACAGTGATATATAGTAGAATAAAATTTTACTAAAACAAAATTCAAGGGACAATCTCCTATAAAGGTTTCTGTAATACAACTTGAGTCTTTCTTTTAATGTCAGTGTTGTATTCCTGCATCCAGTGCTGCCATGTACAGCTGTGTAGGGTTGATTCGAAATTCTATGTCGGTACCATTTTCCAAGCCATGTAACCTGATGTGAAGCTGCATCCGCCTGGAGGAAGGGGTGCCATTTTCTAATCTGTAGCAAGGTTTTGTGTAGCTTAGCAGTGGCCCTGTATATAATTTTTGTTTTGGGTTAAAACAATGTGACTTAGTCTGGTTTCCCCATCATTTAATATGAAGCTTACCACTATGCAAAGGTCTGAGAAGATGTATAAGAAAAATCAAGCATAGTTATAACTAAGTTAGGATAAAAAGTCATGAGCACATAAATTAGTGAGAAAGAATATTACACGGTTAAGCTGGGGGGAGTATTCCCACTTTGGGAATAAAAACAGGATATCATAAGGTGCTAATTACATGACAAAGACATAACAGACAAAAGTCTAGGAGGAATATTCTTGAAAGGATTCGTGGAAGAGGGACTCTTAGAACTGGCCCCAGAAGGTCTGGTATAAGTGGGAAAAGAAGGGGAAGAGAGGAGCATGAACATAGACATGGCAATGGATTAGGAATGGCGAGGGCTGGATACCTGCATGAGTCTTACCTAGAGGGAAGCAATGGAGCTGGATCAGCCAGGGGAGGCCAGATGACAGAGGGCCTTAACATCTCAGGAAGAGTCTATACTCAACGTGATAGAAAGGAGGGGGCCCTTGTATGTTCTTGAGTTAACAAGTAAAATGGTGTTTTCAAGAAGGGTTTATAGAGTAGATCTAAGGTTGTCCCAAACCATCTCTAGAGGAGAGATACATTAGGGGTTAGGAGTGGTCTGGAGATGAAGAAGAAGTAGTGATTTTGAAGGAACCATCACTGGAAAAAGTGGAAATATTGATGGACTTGCACACAGAGCTTGCAGAAGGAATGACTGCTCAGTGTATGACCCTGTGGGCTGCAGGGGCTTGCCATGGGAGTCTTGCAGGTGAATGTGTGCAGGCTGCAGGGGCTCTGGTTTCCTTGTCAAGAGGGCTTGGAAAGGTTACCACCAGGCCTGGGCTACAAGGTCACAGAAAGATCACGTTCTGGACCTGTGGCTGAGGCAGACTTCACCAGATGACCCTCACACCCACACTGCCAACCCCAACCTCTCCTTCCCAGGCCATGCTGGGAATTGCAGGAAGGGGGCATGTTGTAACTCTGTTTACGTTCTCTCATTCAGGTTAGTCTCTGACGCCTTGCCTCTGTTCTGCTAGTTCCCTCCATGTAAGATCAGTGTCTTTCAGTATGGCACTTTATACTTGTTTGCCTCCACCTACCTGTGGTTATTGGCCTCTATTGCCCTTGAAGTCACTGTAGTATTATTTATGGTCTTATTGTAGCTTCTGGCTTCCTCAGTGCACACAGCATCTAATGACAGCAGATGCTAAGGTGACAGGCCCTTTTCTCAGCTTTTAGTCCCCTCTCAGCCTTTTCATTGTCCCCTGGTAGTGGAGCCAGGCAGCCTAAAACCTCTGGGATGGGCAGTCAGATAGTCGGGTCCTCGTCGCCCAGGCCCATTGGTGACTTTTTCTACTTTACTCCTAGAGCATCTTACTGGGCTGGGTAGCATGGGCATGAGGGCTTCCCTACCAGGCTTTCTGTCTCTATAGGCATCATCTGGGAAGGAGTCATAGGCATCTTTCGGTTTTGGCTCCTCCAAACCTGTCTAGGGCTTTTTTGTGGTCTCCTCTTTTTCCTCCACACCCACCAGCATGGGAAGAGGGACAGAGACCCATATCAGTGACCAGTTCTTTTCTCCTAGTCCTCCCTCAAGTGTGCTGATGTCCAGTCACACTCCCTTCCCCAGCCCTACTTTTAGGATTCTGGTGGAGACCTGACTAGGAAAGGATTCCTCCAAACTATTGATTTTGACAATATTTAGGCTTTAAACCACATTTCATTCCAAAGTTGTCTCTACCTGGAATTTATAAAAGTCCATTTAGAAGCTCAAATGATAAAACTTAGTTCAATTAGATGAGCATGCACTGATGGGATAAATGGAGGGTTTCAGGGATGGAGATAAAAGCTGAATTTTCTCAGAATCAATCATAAGCATAGTTGTTCATGCCTTTAATTAAGTATCATGCCCTGTTAGGAAAGATATAGTTTTTATTGCACAAAGAGAAAGAAAAAACAGACTATGGGCAGGAAAATATTGTACTTTTTTATTTGAAGGAAGAACAGAATGGATAATCCTTTTATAATAATATTTTGACATGAAAGGATTTTGTACAGGTGCATTCTTAGAGTTATTTGAACTGAGGTTATATCAAGACACGAATAATGGCATTAGTTATACATATGTTAATAAGAACTGCGTGATAGCAAAATGTGAGCTGAAGAATAAGTTATGAACAGGACTTTGAGGTCTATCTCTAGTGAATTTTCAGAAAAAGTTTGATTATATTCATGTTACATTCTCAACTACATCAGAGTCAGACTTAGGTCTTATTGTTTTTTTTTTTTTTTTAATTAACAATTATGATTGTTGAGTGCTGTTTTTAAGAAAAACCAAATTCTTGGCCTCAATAGCATATGTGATGCATACAATTTGCTATCAGTTTTACAGATACAATAGATGCATTTTCAGGACATTAATGAGAAGGAATAGTAAGAGTTGAGTAACTAGATGTTCATGAAAAGTTAAATTCCTGGAAATGCTGTGATGGGTGCGTAATTATGGCACCTGGTAAATTATGCTTGTTCAGAAAGACCTGAAGCACTTTATGGAGTCTAAAAGCACAGATTTGTTGGCTAGTTCTACTTCTCCAGGTTTGGGTTCATGCCAAGGAGTTCTTGAATGCCATTCTTTTCTACTCTGTTGCTTTGTTGTACTCTCCTTTTGTATAGCTCTTTAAAATTGCTCACAGAGTTGGGCTGGCCCGGTGGCTAACTGCTACAGTGCGCCGCTTGGGAGCGCAGCGGCGCTCCTGCCGAGGGTTCGGATCCCACATACTGGCTGAGCAAGGTGTGGGCGCAACACCGAGGGTTGCGATCCCATTGCCGGTCCCGGTCCCGTACGGGCATGACACTGAGGGTTGCGATCCGTTGCCGGTCACGAAAAAAGACAAAAAAAACAAAAAAAAAAAAATTATATAGAAGAGATTTCTAATATATTGTTTTGTAACATGCTTTTCACTTAACAAATCTTTTTTTTTTTTTTTAAAGATGACCGATAAGGGGATCTTAACCCTTGACTTGGTGTTGTGAGCACCACGCTCAGCCAGTGAGCGAACCGGCCATCCCTATATGGGATCCGAACCCGGGGCCTTGGTGTTATCAGCACCGCACTCTCCCGAGTGAGCCATGGGCCGGCCCCTCACTTAACAAATCCTAATGCTCTTAATTTGTCAGTATATGTAGTACATATTTTTTTTTATCATTACACAATGTAAACATTTTTTGTGGTCCTTTACCAATTTCTCTCTACCCCCCTTCACCTTACTTTCCTCCTTTGCCCACCTCTGGTGTCCTCAGTTCAGTTCTCTCCTTTTTAGAGTTCAAGGAATTATTGTGATTGTTGTATCTTTCTTTCTTTTCTTTTGTTTTTTCCAGCTCCCATGTATGAGTTAGGACATGCGGTATTTCTTTCTGTGCTTGGCTTATTTCATTTAACATAATTTTCTTTAAGTTCATCCATGTTGCTGTGAATGGCAGAATTTCATTCCTTTTTATGGCAGAGTAATATTCCATTGTGTATATATACCACAGCTTCATTATCCAGTTGTCCATCGATGGACATTTAAGTTGATTCCAACTCTTAGCTATTCTAAATAGAGCTGTGATAAACATGGGAGTAAACGTATTCCTTTGACATGATGATTTCCATTCCTTTGGGTATATACCCAGCACTGGAATTGCTGGATCGTATGGTAGGTCTGTCTGTAGGTGTTTGAGGAACCTCCATAATGTTTTCTATAATGGCTGCATTAATTTACAGTCCCACCAACAGTGTAGGATGGTTCCCATTTCTCTGCATCCTCACCAGCATTAGTTATTCTCCTTTTGGGACTGGCCAGTCTAACTGGTGTGAGGTGATATCTCAGTGTGGTTTTGATTTGTATTTCCTTGATGCTTAGTGATGTTGAGCATTTTTTTCATTTGTGTGTTGGCCATTTGTATATCTTGCTTTGAGAAATGTCTATTCAGCTCCTTTGCCTGTTTTTTAATCAGGTTACTTGTTTTTTCACTGTTAAGTTGTTTGAATTCCTTGGATATTAATCCCTTGTTGGATGCATAATTTGTGAATATTTTCTCCCATTCTGTAGGTTGTCTCTTCACTCTGTTAACTGTTTCTTTTTCTGTGTAGAAGCTTTTTAGTTTTATATAATCCATTTGTTTATTTTTCCGTTTGTTGCCTGTGCTTTTAGGGCCTTGTTCTTGAAGTCTTTGCCCTGTCATATTTATTGAAGTGTTTCCCCTATGTTTTATTTTAGTGGTTTTATAGTTTTGGATCTTATATATAAGTCATTAATCCGTTTTGAGTTGATTTTGGTATATGGCAAGAGATACAGGTCTAGTGTCATTCTTCTACATATGGATGTCCAGTGTTTACCAGCACCACTTACTGAAGAGGCTCCTGTTGCCCTTGTCAAATATCAGTTGGCTGTAAGTATGTGG